GGTCCATGAATTCACGCACAGGTAGAGTCCCTAGGCCTGGCCAGCCATTGGAGGCTGATCAAAGTGTCAAGCCCAGTCCCCATGGGGGCCAGCCAGCCAGGGGGGGTAGGGGGCATAGGGACTGTGGGAGGTTGACCGGCTGGAGGGAGGGACCACAGGAGGTTGGCTGGCTACAGAAGGTTGGCTGTGTGAGCACACTGGCCACCAGGGGCAGCTCCTGCATTGAGTGTCTGCCCCTAGTGACCAGTGAGCATCATAGCGACTGGTCGACCAGACGTTCCGGTCATTCTGGTCGTTCGGTCATAAGGGTGGCTTAGGGTTTTAGCTATAAAGATGTTGTATATATGTACTATGTATACAAATATGGATATATACATGTAGTGTTTCATTTTCTTCCTTAAATAACTTGAAGTAGTTTAGAGTATTTATATGTCCTAAATGATTTCTGATTTGGAAGGTGACAATATATATATAAGAGTGATGTGTCTTGAAACCAAAGTTTGGATAGGGATGTCTGGTGAAAGGCCAGGACAAAGCTTAAGTGTGGTTCTCTGTGATGTAAAACACTTCATCTTTTTTGTAGCTCCCATGCTGTCTGATCCATAACAAATTGATTTTTCAATAGTACGCATCAAAAGGGAGTGTTACCTATGAATATTTGCTGGGTACAATCATGTTCACATTTCCTGCACTGTCATCCTATTGCCTGGAAACATGCACTGTAACTAATGAAACATAGTCTTCAGGAGGTGCTTGATTTCACTGGACTAATGGAATTATTTTAGGTTGGAAATGGAAATACTATTTAAAGATCACCTCCTGAAAAACTAAACAAAATACACTCACCGGAGAGGTTAAGCCTGCTTCTTCTTCCCCAGGATTTCGTTGGAATACAAAATAGAATCCACAGTGACCAAACTGGCCATGACATCATGGTGGCAGGGAAGGATGTCTTAGAACATGACCCCATCGATTTCACGGTGGCTACACAGGCCCCACCGTAGCATGTTTGGCTTCTCCGAAGGCTCACAGGGATGAGCAGCTGTTACCCTCTCCCACATGGTGACATATTCCGGGAGAAACAGAGTCCTAATTAGACAGAAATTCATTTTGCTTACCACCCAGCCCACTCAAGAACAAAAAACACTGCTAGGAAAGTTCAAGATGTGATAAGAAAAAGATCAAATCCATCTGGGACACAGTGATTGCCTCAGTTTCATAGAATATGTTTTCCTCCTACTTTACAGACACACACAAAGAAACATTTTTAAAACCTGTGCAGTGAATTTATATATTTATGTTCATGTATTTCTTGAATATATTTACATAAACTACATTAAAGAAAATGTCAAAGCTTTAGTGTACTAGAATTTATTTCATATTTGGAGTGTCTTGAACACATTTATGCGAAAATACATTAAAGAAAATGTCAAAGCTTTCGTTTATTTAATATCTGAAGTCATATGGCAAACTTGTATGCTTGTGATTATTTTTTTTATTTATTTAGTGCACTATTTATAGGTAACAATGAATTTTAGCCTCAACTAGGAGAGTAACAGAGGAACTGTGAAATCCTACACATAAAACATTATAGTTCTAAATAAATACATTACAGTTTAAGTTATTTAAAAATATATTCTCTAGGGAATACAACTGTAGCTCTAATTGTGCAGGTAACTTTTATACTTATTTATATCCCAAAGATAACTAAAGCTAAAGACAATTTGAAAAATTCACAACCAGTGAGGCATTATAATTGAAAGAGTTCAGTAACTCTAAAGATAAAAATAAATCTAAGAAAAACATTGAAATCTAAGAAAAATAAATCTAAATAATTGCATTATTAATATTATGTAACCAATCCAGAGAGTCAAAACAATCATTTACCACAAAGTCACTGGTTATTTTTGTCTGGGTCTCATACAACACTCACTCATTCAATATGTTCAACAAATGATTTTTGAACCCTCTCTGTGCTCTAGGGAATGTGTTCAGCCCTAGGAAAACACTGGGAGACAAAGCAGACATAGACCAGCCCTCACAGAGCAGACAGAGGAGCACATAGGCACCTACAGTACAGCATGGCAATTGCTGTGCTGGAGCCTCCCATCCTAGAGGAGGCAACACCGATGCTGACACCTGTAGGTTCAGGGTGAAACACTCGAGCTCGTTGTAAAGCAAGATTTCATGAGCTAAAAGCAGATGTATTTCTGCCAGCAGATACAATTTCTCCATCACTGGGAAAAACAAGCCTTAAAGAGCTTCCAAACAACACAGGCAAGCCTTATAAAGAAAAGAATGATTAAACCTTATTAATGATCAAATCTTATTTGACTTAATAAAGTCAAATATGGACCTGAGCTCTTGTGGTATCTGTGAAAACAGACTTGCAAACCAATCTTAGGTTCGCTCCAAGAGGGGGGTGTGATGGTCTAATGTCTGTTGGAGCCAAGTAGCTTTCCATCTGCCTGTCACTCCTGATCCATGCTGGTTGGTGTCAGACACCTCCTTTTTCTGCCAACATGTAGTCTAAGGCAATTCGATTATCTAAGACAACGTAGATCATCGAAGAGGAGGAAGGAGATGGAAAGAGGACTCCAGATAGAAGGAAAAGAAAGTGCAAAGACTCCTGAGATGTGAGAGGGCGAAGTCAATTCTACAGCAGTGATTCCAAAACAAAGCACCTAAGACACTTGCTGGGCCAGAATGAATTTTTTACCCATCAACTGGAAAATGAGGGCAGTGTGGTAAGTCTTTCCTAAACTAACGTCACTCAGTTTTAATAATTGAGTTTAAGGCTGCCTTATTTTCTGGCATTAAAATGGCTGCTGTTTTATGAAATGACAGTGGTAGCAGGTGATATACAAATCTATTGGCATTTCATTCTCCTGTTGCCTGAGCTCCTTTATGTATATTTAGATAAATGGCCCCATTTTTAAAACTAGTAAAACAAAAGCTACTGATGTGTAGATGTTACATAGGTCTGGGAATCACTGTTAGGAGAATACATTTCTAAAAATGGTTTAAGCCCTGACTAATTTGGCTCAGTGGATGGAGTGTTGGCCTGCAGACTGATGGGTCCCATGTTTGATTCCGGTCAAGGGCATGTACCTTGGCTGCGGGCACATCCCCAGTAGGGGGTGTGCAGGAGGCAGCTGATCGATGTTTCTGACTCTATCCTTTTCCCTTCCTCTCTGTAAAAAATCAATAACAAATATTTTTTTAAAAAGTGGTTTAGTATGGTTGAAGGGGAGGGGTTAAGGAGACATCGAGAAATAAGGCTAAGGAGGAAGGCAGGAAAGTAGATCATGGAGGAAACTTGAACTTTATCCTAAGAGCAATGGGAATGATTTTAAGCATTTGTAAAAGATCATTCTGGGACGTTGTGTGTAGAATGCATGTTAAATGGGACGAGACAACACGAAGGAAGGCCAGTGAGGCAGTTCTACAGTGTCCCAGACAATGGACATAAGAGCTGGAATTAGGGCCAAACCAGGGAGATTGAGAAGAAGATGATTTCAAGAGATAAACATACCAGGATCTGGTGATCTGTTATATTGGATAAGGAAGATGGGATGGTTAAGGCTAATGTCCAGGCTTTTGACTGGAAACGGAAGTGATCATTGCGCAAACCATTGAGTTAGACCAGTGTTTCCCAAAGTGTGGTACGCATACCCCCAGGGGTTTGGAAGAGTTTGGTGGGGATATGCACTGCACCATGCTTAGCTGCGCCTAATTCTACATTCTCATGAGTACAAGGGGTACTCAGCGTTACGAAAATTATAGAAGGGGTACCCATATGTCAAAAGTTTGGGAAACACTGAGCTAGACAATATAGGAGAAGGAGCCTTTTGGTGGAGGAAGATAGTGACTTCATTTGTGACATGTTGAACTTGAGGTGTCTTTGTGTTCATGTGCATCAGGGCAATTGTCTACACAGGTCTCAAGCACACGAGAGAAAGAGCTGAACATTTATAGTCAACAGCACACAGGCAATAATCTAAACAGTGAACATGGACGAAATGTCCCAGAGACTGTAGCCTAAGAAGAGACGCGGGCTTAAGACATCCTACAAAAGGGCTGGCAGGACAGGAGCGAAGCAGAAAGAAGTCAGAAGCACATGGGTGGGGAGGAGCACCAAGACACAGAGGCAGAGGTGCTGTGGAAGCCGCGGGAAGGCCTTTTCCAGGAGCGGCCGGCCAGGGCAGGTGCTGCAGGAATCACGGAAAGAACTGAAGAATACGCATTGATAGAAGCAGCAGGAACTTGCTAAGGACCCTGGGAAAGGCAGTGGGGGGAGCAGAAGCCAGAGAGAGGGTGTGAGGCTGCAGGCAGGAAGGTGCTCGTTCATGCAGCGTGGCCATGAGAGAAAGGGGAGGGAGGGCAGCAAGGGGCTGAAGCTGTGGCTTGAAAAGTGGGTCCTTCATTGGTTTATAAACATGGGAGGGACTTGATGATGGACATTGTAGGAGCCACTTGATGGGGAGAGTTTGAAGACTTGTTGCAAATGAAGAAAATCAATAGCGAGTCAGACAAAATATTGACTTGCTTTAAAAAAAAATCACAATGTTTAATGGGAGACTTAGGTAATACTCTCAGCAACAAAGATTACAATGGAACCAAAACGATGGCTGTCAGAGGGGAGGGATGGGGGAATGGGTGAAAAGGGGAAAGGGGAATATAGCAATGATATGGTGTTGTTTGCACAGTGACAGATGATCAAAAGAATTAATAGGATGATTACATTATAAGGTATAAAAATGTCAAATCACTATATTGTATATCTGAAACTAATACAACCAATATCATATTGTATATCAACTATTCTTAAATGTTTAAAAAAATCACAATGTTAAGGTCTTTAAAGATGTAAAATGTGGTGTTCTCATAAGAGCACAGGATCCTGTTATGAAACTGTCAGTGGACTTAAACACAGTTAAGGAGGTAAAATGATTCCAAGAAATATTTTAAAAATTGCATTCTAAAATGTTACTTTTAAATCATGGCAGCTTTAGCTCTTGTCCATAGAGGTCGTATTCCTTAAACAATAGGTATCTCTGAATGGTTGGCGGTAGAGGAAGCTTCTCCATGGAGGCGGGCTGGCAGAGCCGCTGCAATCCCATAATTCTTCGGATTTTTAACCGACACAAATGCTTTAATGAGCAAGGATTCTCTGAAACAAATGGGAAAAACAAGTGAAATGTAAAAACCAGTATTCGTGGATGGGTCTGGAAGATACAGACTGTTTTAGAATAACACCAAGAGGTATGCACACGTTAACAACTGTGGCTTTAAGGGGAAGTCACCTTGTCACTAGGCCTTCCAGAACATTCCTCTGGGATGTAAGCTCCAGGAAGGCCGGCCTGCAGTCTGTCCATAGCGGGTGTTTAACCAGGAGATGATGTTAAATGAATGAATGGACTTCATTTAAGCGAGCAAGTGCTCACACCTCCTCTTACTTATTCTTTAGAATTGGGTATTACAGAGATACATTTCTTTACTTTCTCTCTCTTCTACCAATCTTTCTGATGAATAACCATCTAGGGAATATCTGATGCAGATGATTCCATATGTCCACGATTCTTAGGTTTGTTTCAGCATACGACACCTTACCATTTTATATTTAAATATCTGCTAAGGTTAAATATCAGAGTTAGTCTTTATTTTCGACTCTTTATCTCGATGGCAATGACAGTACTGACACCTTATCCCGGCAATGGGAGCTGGTGAGAGGGCAGCATCGCACAGGGCTCAGCTGCAGGCCCTGGGCTCGGTCAGGATTAGATGCTGGGGCTCTACCTCTTAGTATTGGTGTGACCTTGACCTCCGTGAACTCAGTGTTCTCATCTGTGAAATGTGGGTAAGAATGGGATCTACCACTTAGGGTTGTTTGAAGATAAAGCAAATTAATTTGTGTAAAGTATTAGAAAAGTACGTGGTACCTTGTAGTCATTCAATAATGTGAACTATCACTCAATTCAAAAATGAAAGACATCACATTTCTATTACACTTGAGATGGTAAACATGCAAATTCTTTCTTTTTTTTTTTTAAATGAAAGCAATGTTTTTCAAAAACGATTGAGGCAAAATAATTGTTACCCAAGTAGGCAGAATAAACCCATCTTCCTTCCTCCCTTTCTTCCTTCCTTTCTTTCTTCCTTCCTTCCTTCCTTCCTTCCTTCCTTCCTTCCTTCCTTCCTTCCTCCCTCCCTCCCTCCCTCCCTCCCTCCCTCCCTCCCTCCCTCCCTCCCTCCCTCCCTCCCTTCCTTCCTTCCTTCCTTCCTCCCTCCCTCCCTCCCTCCCTCCCTCCCTCCCTCCCTCCCTCCCTCCCTTCCTTCCTTCCTTCCTTCCTTCCTTCCTTCCTTCCTTCCTTCCTTCCTTCCTTCCTTCCTTCCTTCCTTCCAATTTTCTTTCCTAACAATACTATACTGCCCTCTGTATACCTGGAGAAATGCTGACATCCAGTGGTTATCCATACTCACAGCAATCAACTGACTTACATTCTGGTTGCAATAATATATGACTGAAACAACTAACAACATTCCTCCTATTTATTTTGGGATTACCTTTCTAAAGTCATAAGAATCGGTCCTTCTTTTTCAGTATAAACACACAGAAAATTAATTACCAATTGGAAGTAAAATGTTCTATGACAGGAAACACATTGGTGATGGAGAAAGAGCCTAAGTTTTGAAATGAGACAGGCAAGGGTTCAAATCCTTGCTTTGTCGTTGTCTATGTCTACAATTTTGGAAAATGAATTTGTCTAAACTTTAGGGTTTTTGCCCTTATGATCTCCAAAATTTTTTAACCTTTTTATTGTAAAATAAAATACAGAAAGAGCAACTGAACAAATGTATAGCTTCTTAAATTATTATAAGTGACTAGAGGCCCAGTGCACAAAATTCTTGCACTGGCAGGGGGAGTGGGGCCCCTCAGTCTGGCCTGTGCCCTCTCACAGCCCAGGAGCCCTCAGGGGATGTCTGAATGCCAGCTTATAGAGTGGGCCTAAGGCATCATCGGACATTCTTAGCGCTGCTATGGATGAGGGAGAGGCTCCCACCATTGTCACTGCCCTCCCTAGCCATGAGCCCAACTTCTGGCTGAGTGGTGCTCTCCCTGTGGGAGCGGACTAATCACTAGGGGGCAGCTCCTGTATTGTGTCTCTGCCCCCTGGTGTTCAGTGCACATCATAGTGACTGGTCGTTCTGCTGTTTGGTCTATTTGCATATTAGCCTTTTATTATATAGGATTATTAGGTCAACATCTTTATCTCCCAGGTTATAATAGAATAACTTCAATAGGCACTCCACAATTCTTTCCAAAACCCACCCCAAGCTTCATTTATTCCTCCTCTCTAAGAAACTACTATTCTGACCTGTACAGGAATCACTTCTTGTAGCGCTTCATCATTTCATTGTGTTTACCCTACACCAAGCATGTCAAACTCATAGACTAACAAGGCCAAATAAACAAGATTTAAGTTTGTGTGGGCCGCAAAAAAAACAAAAGCTTCAATTTTCATAAAAATGTAGGTTTATTTCAATAGAGACATGCTGAATACAAAGGGCTGAAATAAATGAGTCATTGTTAACATAAAATAATAGAACATATTAATAGAAATTAATATTTTTTCTTGAACACTAGCTTACCAGTCACCGAATAACTGCAAATTAATAAGCGTAACACAAATAAACCTATTTTTCTTGTTCTCTGAAAGCAAAATATTTTCTGTTATGCACACCAAACAAGCCAGCACTAGACTAATGACATGGCAATTGGCTGCTAAAATATTTGCTGCTAGTTGTAGTGGCGAGAAATGGTGTGCCTGTGTGTAAGGCGCATAAGGGAAATGAATGCAACGCGATTATAGTAATTAGTCATTAGCGAATGTTGTTGTTTGTTACTAATAATTGTGTATAACAGGATATTATAAAAATGAAGTTATAAAATCTTTATTAAAACGTTTCTTACATACCGTTATGGCCACAAAAATAGTCACTGTGGGCTGCAGGTGGCCCGTGGGCCATGAGTTTGACATGTTTGCCCTACACTATAGTATTGACAATTGACAATATTTTTAAGTTTTTGACATGTCTATATTTTTCTTATAATAAATTTACGTGAGGTTTGACTGCGATACTTTTCTGCTGCTCATTTTTATGGGAATTTAGTTTTTCTGAATTTCTGGGAGGAAGCTAGGTTTAAGATAGCTCTTTAAGTTAACAGAGCTTCCTATTCTGTCGCCTTCTTGCAAGGATCCTCACCGGCCGGTGTCTTGCTCTCTGAGGTTTCCTGGCTTTGTTTGCACCCACTCACGTGGACCTCTCTTACCTCCGTCCTGCTTGAGTTTGTTGTTATCCCAATGGGGGACCCCGCTCAGAAAGGGAAGCCTGTCAGCCCTGTTTCCTGAGTTCATAGGGTCCAGACTATTTTATAATTCCCTTAGCCTCAGCTTTTTATTGATAAAAAGTAGCATGACAACACACAACTTGTGATGATTTCATGACATACTTTACATGTGCATTTCCTACTTCACATAGACTTATGTATAATAAAAACACTACTATTGTAGTTCATAAAATAGCTAAATTTATTAAGTGTTTTAATGTTCTACAGAGTATGCTAAGCACCTTACATGCATCATCTCTTTATTTATTTTTAAAAAATATATTTTTATTGATTTCAAAGAATAAGGAGAGAAAGAGAGATAGAAATGTGAATGATGAGAATCATGGATCGGCTGCCTCCTGCACACCCCATATTAGGGATTGAGCCTGCAGCCCAGGCATGTGCCATGACTGGGAATCAAACTGTGACCTCCTAGTTCATAGGTCACTGTTCAACTGCAGAGCCACACCAGCAGGGCCATGAATCATCTCTTTAAATTCTCACAACAACCTTATGAGGTAACTATTATCCTAGCCCCATTTTGCAGTGGGAAAACTTTGGCATAAAAAGGGCAAGTAACTTTCTCAAAATCACACGGCTAGTATGCTATCTTGGTCTTTTTTTTTTTTTCCAGAAAATAAAAAAATTCCCCTTTCTTCAATGAAACATGAATGATACAACAAATTGTTGTTTGTTTCCATGAAAATATAAGCCCTGAACGATATATACAACTCAGCAATCCTACTCCTAAGTAAGACCAGAATTTTGTGCCAGCCTAGGTCCATCTAACCCCAAAGGTCAATTTCTAGGCTCACAATATTGTATTACTCATCAGATTCTCTAAGATTCCAATGTTAGTTCCCACAACGTCTCATCTACTGTAGAATACATTCAAGAGGAAGTCATTTGAGAAAATCCAAGCTTACCTCCAAATCTGCATTTTTTTCATTTTAATTTCTTTATTGATTGAGGTATTACATATTTGTCCTCATTCCCCCAGTACCTTCCCAGCTTTCTAGCCAAAGTCTCCATCCTTCCCACAAAAAACTCAGGTGAATTAATTTAATGTATGAGACTCTGATTGAAACTAAATGTTTAAATGAAATCTACTTTACCACTTATATTTCTTTTTATAGAACTTTATATCTAACAAATATGATATGTAAATCAGCTCAACATTTAAGTTTTATCTTATTTTTGACTGAGAAATACAACCTACCTAAAATTTGCCTGGTCCTAAAGAATTAGTTGTGGAGGTTTTGTTAATCCGTTCACGGATGATTTGGGTTTATTAAGAGTGCCAGGTTATATATGCATGTGACCCAAAGTTCTATGATGCTTCTTTAGGCTCCATGCAATTGATGTCCAAGTAGGTTTGGGGGTTCATTTTTCCAAACTCATATTTTGAAAGAGAAAACTTCTCCAATCTATTATTTTTTCTAGTTCCTGTATGTATTTGAAGTAATTTTAAACTCAATTTTATTGAAATATTTATAATATAATTCACATTTATAATTATAACTAAACTTTAACCTCAAGTACACAAAGTAGCCTGTCTGTAATAAAAATATTTGATGGTAGGAATTTGTTAATAAAGACCAGAGAGAGAGAGCATATCAAAAAGGGTAATTCTAATACATGCCATTCATTCATTTACTCAGTATTTATTGACTATTTAACACTTACTAGGAATTATGCTAAGCCTTGAGAATATAAAAATAAACAAAACAGATTCCTGTCCATATGGAAATTATAGTCTATATACTTTATGATATTCTAGAAGTTAACTTTTGAAAAAATGAGTTCTATTTAGAATGTTAATATAGTTATAATATTACCTATTATGCAACCAAAGAGTTAGAAAATATTAAGGAAAACAAAACAACATTAACATCTTAAATCAGAGGAAATAGTAAGGGTGACTTCCAAAAACAGTGAAAATAAAGTAGCATTGAAAAAAAAGTATCAAAGATAACATTGAGAAATTTCCCTATAGACATTTTTCATTTTTAAAAAATGTGTAGGCAAAACTTGTTTTTACCTAGTATTTGACGGATTTCTGGCCATTCTCTCTGTACTTCCAGGGCAGTCTTCAGTTTATCACACAGAGGGATATAATCCATGTAATCTATTAATACACGAATAACGCTGCCTACCAAATGTTTCATCCAAGGAACTGTAATGAACTCACAGAACTGAGAGAATTGATAAAATTTAATTTAGTAGTACTTTTACTATACCATATACATAAGCACTAAACTTTGTTATGAAAATTACTATCTTTTAGGAAATAAAAGGTACCTCCTTGTAATGAATGAAAAATAAAAAAATAAATGGGTTGCTTGTCTCTGTGAAACAATGGGTCCTGAAGTTACATGCTCGGCTCTGTTGTGAGGTAGCCGGCGTAACATGGAGAGATCATGCTTCTCTCCAGGATTCTTCTTCCCCTGCTGTTAGCCCCAATATCCCACCGAATAAGCATAAGTTGTTAGTATTCATCTTATAAGTTGTTAGTATTCACCTTCTTCGGTGCCTAGTTTTACTCCTATATCCCCATATTATTGCTAACAAAAGAAAACTATCAAAGTTAGAGTTGACTTCTCTTTTCTTGTTCCATCTCCCAAGGAGCCAAAGGTAGGAGAAGTAACGGGAAATGAGCCCAGCGGGCATGACTCAATGGTTGAGCATCAACCTATGAACCAGGAGGTCACAGTTCAATTCCCGGTCAGGGCACATGGCTGAGTTGCAAGCTTGATCCCCAGTGTGAGATGTGCAGGAGGCAGCCGATCCATGATTCTCTCTCATTACTGAGGTTTCTAGCTCTCTATCTCCCTCTCCCTTGCTCCTTGAAGTCAATAAAAATCTATTAAAAAAAAAAAAAATGAAATGAGCCGAAACTGGTTTGGCTCAGTGGACAGAGCATCGGCCTTGGACTGAAGGGTCCCAGGTTCGATTCCAGTCAAGGGCATGTACCTTGGTTGCGGACACATCCCCAGTAGGGAGTGTGCAAGAGGCAGCTGATGGGTGATTCTCTCTCATTGATGTTTCTAACTCTCTATCCCTCTCCCTTCCTCTCTGTAAAAAAAAAATTAAAAATAAAAATAAAAATCAATAAAATATATGTTTTAAAAATGAAAAGATGCAGAAGGAAAGGCTGTCACTCACCGGGTTGTCCTTTATTACACAGGACGTCCAGCCCGGCAGCACCTCCTCCTCTATCTCGGCCCACACGAAGGAGTTGCCGAAGATGTCGCCGTGCCGGCACTGGAAGCACAGCTCGGCGCGGTAGCCGTGGTTGAGCAGCAGGCGCAGCATGGCCTCGTCGCCCAGGGCGTACTGGATGGCGCTGGGGAAGCGCGTGTCGTTCACCTGCATGAAGTAGCAGTTGACGTCGGCCCCGTGGGCCAGGAGCAGCCGCACGATCGCGTGGCTGTGGGCCCTCACCGCCACCAGCAGGCAGTTGAGGGGGTCCAGGTTGGGGTCTGCGCCCGCCTGCAGCAGCAGCTCCGTGCAGCGCACGTCGTTGTTGGAAACGGCGAAGTACAGCGCCGTCCGCCGCCCGTCGTCGTAGCTCTCGGAGATGTGGTCGGCCAGCCGGGCGTTGACATCAAAGCCCTGCTCAAGGAGCAGCTCCAGGCACTGCACCTGCTGCCCGTCCGCCGCGGAGTGGATCGGTGTCAGCCCGCTCTTCCGGATTGCGTGTTTGGATGTGACCGGGATGAGAAATTTCAGCGCGCTGAAAATAAAAATAAATCAGATATCCCCCTGGCATGAAGACGATCGGGAAATGAATGAAGCCAGCTGCCTCACGAAGACACATGAGTGCAGTTTGTTTCAGTTTTCTTTACATGTGCTGGATAACCTTATACAAAGATATATGATTGTGGTCCATTGTCTTTCTACTATTTGGGTTAGTGTAATGTAGTGTAGGTTTTTAAAAAATATATATTTTATTGATTGATTGTAGGCCTCTTAGGATTCTCATTCATCACTCCTCTTTCACTGCTATCTGAGCTTTACCATCCTCTTTTACAGAGAGGGAGAGAGAGTTGGAAACATCGATGAGAGAGAATCATCGATCAGCCGCCTCCTACACACCTCCTACTGGGGATGTGCCCGCAACCAAGGTGCATGCCCTTGCCCGGAATTGAACCTGGGAACCTTCAGTCTACAGGCTGATGCTCTATCCATTGAGCCAAACCGGTTAGGGCTGTAGTTTAGTTTTTATTTAGCTTCCTGTTCTAAACGTTCCTGGGGATTACGATGGATCATATGTTTGGCCCTAGAATTGTGGCTCCTCAGGGACCCTCCCATCTTCCAGTTCTTCTCTGAACAACATACAATTTACCAGCAACCAATGCTGTTTCATGAAAACTACAAGAGAAAGGGAAGCCCATCTGATGCCATAGAGAAATGCTTCCTAATCGTAACCATTAGAATCACGGAGTCACGGGGGGAAAAGAAAACTGGAAGTGGCCTTGAACATTACTCAGAGCAACGCCTTCATTTAACCGGAGAGCAATGTGCAGCCTGGAGAAGTAAAACGTCTTGTCCAAGGTCACACAGACGTGGAGCAAGGGTTAGATTGTAGGCCTCTTAGGATTCTCATTCATTACTCCTCTTTCACTGCTATCTGAGCTTTACCATTGGCCATGGACATCCTGTCTACTTCAATATAACTCAAAATTGAATTATTAGAAGCTTCTTTCTTATTTCATCAACCTTCTAATAGTCCAACTGAGGTAATGAACACTGCTTATGTTTCTAAGAACTTGTGATAGCTACGAATTCCACACTTGACTGACCAACTAAACATGCACCAGAGCCATCAGCAAGGATAACCTGATCTCTTGTGCCTACCCCAGAGCTACCATGTGTGAATTTATGAACCCTGGGAACAAATCCAGGTAAACTTTAACAACGTGTCACTTAGCGTTAATTATGTCATTGGCCTCTTAGCTGATGTGACCACTGGAGGTGATAAAGCCTAAGCATTTCAAAGTTTTGGGACTTATTAAGTATATTTCATTCCCTAAAACTAACCTCTCACTGCAGGTAGTTTGATATAATGATTCTAGACTTCTATTGATATGCCAGTTGTGGCACTTTTGTGATTTAAAAATCTATCCAGCCTTTTTTTTGGGAATAAAGAACTCTATACTTATAATGAGACTTTTCTACTCAATAATATATTTGACATTATACTAGAATATCCATTCATGTTGCGAAATAACTAAAGTAATACTGATGGTATTTTCACAAGTTTTAATTTTTTTCAAAGGGCAAAATTTTTTTGAAACTATAGTCTTTAAAAAAAACACAGTTAAAAAACAGGAGGGCCTATTTGGATGGCTTGTGAAGAATTCTCATGTGTAACTTCCTTCTAAAAGAGAAACTCTTCATTATAAAAGTAGTATACATTCAATGTGGAAATTTTATAAAGTGCAAAAATATATTATGATGTGTCTTTGGAGATGGGTGAAAAAGTAAAGGGATTAAAAAGTACAAAGGGCAGTTGTAAAATAGTCATGAGATGTACAGTATAGAGCAGGGAATACAGTCAATAACATTGTAATAATTGAGTAATGTCAGGTAGTTACTAGACTTGGCGTGTGAGCCCCTCATAAGGTATACAGATGTCTGAACACTCCGATGTACATCTCAAACTCATAGACTGTTGTATGTCAACTGTAACTGAAAAAATTTTTAAATTGTTAAGACATAAAAATATAAAAAGGACAACAGTCAACATATTTAGAAGAACAAAAAATTTTGAACATTTTGCCTATTTCTTTTTGGATTTGGGGGGTTATTACTTAGAGAGAATTGTGATTACATTATACATGCACTTTTTTATTTTATAACTTAAAATGACCATCCTACGATCGGTGACTCACAGGTAATGTCCCTCGTAGGCAGCTCGGTGTATGGGAAGGTGCCCTGCTCTGTTGGGCACGTTGCCGCTTCCTCCGTATTCCAGCAGGAGAGAGATGCAGTCCGGGTTGCCCCCTCCTGCGGCCTCGAACATCACGGACTCCCCATCGTCCGCCAAGGCAAACACGTCGCCCCCTGGCGGCATGAACAATGCATAGCGGTCAGAAAGAGGGGCTCCTTCCAACGAGACAATTGTTTTCCTTGTTAGGACTTACAATCGAAAGTATAGAGTGAAGAACATCTACATTCTCAGTATTTTTAATAAATAATTACACAGCCTGTTTCCCTTTATTAGCAAATCTTTGCATCGCCGGAAGATCTGAGAAGTGAGTCAATTTCTGTATCAGACAAATGTTCTTGGGGAAAGACATCAGTTAACACTCTTTTTCAACTAATGTTTACCAGCTGTGCCGCATGTGAAAACACTGGGTGAGACTCAACAGAAGGTCCTAAGATAGCAACTATTTTAAGAAACTCCGAGGGGAAATGAAACAAAAAAAATCATCAAGGAACACAGAGTGTGACAGTCACCTGGCATCGGGACTAGCGGGTTCCGTGGGGGGGGAAAGGTCTGTGTTTGAAGTGTGGCTCTGCGACTCAGCATGGTAGCTGGGGACAAGCTAGGTACACATCTCCTCCTCTAAACTAGGTGCACAGCTTATGTCATCAGACTTACTTAGCAATTAAATGAGCTGCACTTTGAGGTTCCCGAAAATGTTGGTCTTTTCATCCTTGCGGACCCTGTGGTCCTAGCCTTTACTGACAGATGAGGGAAGTCCGAACCAGATGTTTAAGTAACCAAGCTAGGGGCAGACAATAAGTAGGTAGCAGAAACCAGTTTCAGAATTTGGTTTCTTAATTCTTTAAAAAAATAAAAAAAAAAATTAAAAAAATAATATATATATATATATATATATATATATATATATATATATATATATATATATATATATTTCAGAGAGGAAGAGAAAGGGAGAAATATAACATGAATGATAAGAGAGAATCATTGATCAGCTGCCTTCTGTAACCCCTACACAGGGGATTGAGTCCACAACCCGGGCATGTGCCCTGACCGGGAATCAAACCGTGACCTCTTAATTCATAGATCCACACTCAACCCCTGAGCCATGCTGGCCAGACTGGTTTCTGAATTCTTTTTTTTAAACAATTTATTTTAATTTTTTTATATATATTTTAAAATATATTTTATTGTTTTGTTTTTTTTTACAGAATGGAAGGGAGAGAGAGAGCTAGAAGAAACATCGATGAGAGAGGAACATCGACCAGCTGCCTCTTGCACACCCCCTACCGGGGATGTGCCCGCAACCAACGTACATGCCCTTGACGGGAATCGAACCTGGGACCTTTCAGTCCGCAGACCGACGCTCTACCACTGAGCCAAACCGGTTTTGGCTGGTTTCTTAATTCTTAATAAAGCACTTGGAGGTTTCAAAGGAGGGGCAACGTCACAGTCCGTTGGGCAGGATTAGGGAAGGCTTCAGGGAGGAGGTGTCTCGAGAAGGTGATTTGGAGTTATGTTGGACAGAATTCCAGACGAAGGCAAACATCTGACTCTGACCCAGACAGTGGGATGGGAGGCATGCTGGGGAGCAACCATCTAATGTGGCGGGAGTGCAGGATACACGTTGGGAGTAGTGAGGGATACACCTGGTAAAGAATTCGAGAGGGTGCAGAGTGGCCTGTGTATGACGCAGCGGGCAGCGGGGAGCCACGGAGAACTTCTTACTGATTTACACTGTTGCAGCTGTCCTTCAGGCAGAGGGACTGAGTTCTGTATGCACCAAATATTCTCTGACGGGGAGACTGGAAACCTGAAGAACAATCAAATGACTGCCTCGGTCCAGAGAAGATGTGAGGACCAGGATGCAAAGCAGAGGGACCGCCAAGGAGAACAGATGAATGGGACCCAGCGGCATTCAGCACCCGACTGGATTTGGGAAAGAAGGTGATGGAAGAAGTAGAGATAAATCTACTTTGTCTCGGATGACAGAAATCTTTAAATCAGTACTGTGAACGAAGAGGAATTCCATTTAGAAGGTGAGTGTGAGACTCGGTGAGCCATCGCTATGAAAACGGGGCTGTTTTTATTGAGAGCACACTGAGCGGGGCGTGCAGACCTGCAGGTAAGTGTGCATACGGTTTAGTTGAGCACTCATCGGGTTGGTTCAGTGGATAGAGCGTCGGCCTGTGGACCGAAGGGTCTCAGGTTTGATTCCCATCAAGGGCACATGCCTGGGTTGCATGCTTGATCCCCAGTAGGGGCATTCAAGAGGCAGCTGGTCAATGATTCTGATCCTTAATGTTTCTTTCTCCCTTCCTTTCTGAAATCATTTTTTAAAAATATTTTATATATATATATATATTTTTTTTTTTTAAAAGATGTTTTAAAAAATTGAGTTGTGGCATAGGGGACCACTCGGGAGACTGTCGAGAGCTGGGCACCAAGGCCGGATGCACTGTTCTTTCAGAAGAGGAAGAGAAGCCAGCGAGGGATGGAGGAAAGGAGACAAGCCAGGGACGGGCAGCTCCTGGCCACGTACCTTTGTGGATGAGGTGCTCCAGCACCTCGCAGTGGCCGAACTCCGCAGCGACCCCTAGCGGCGTGACGCCGAAGCCGTCCCGCAGGTGCACGCTGCCCCCGTGCTGCAGCAGCAGGGTCACCAGGTCCTTGCGGCCCTGCTTGGCCGCCTCGTGCAGGGCCGACCAGCGCTTGACACAGGGCTGGTCCAGGCTGGCGTCGTGCTTGAGCAGAGCAGTTACCATGTCATAGGAGCCCCTTCTGACAGCTTGAAGAGATTTTTAAAACAATGGACAGTAGGCATGTTAACATGAATATTAGATGGTGTTACATGACCAAGGTTACTATCAAAAGAGAATATTGCATTTTTCACCCCCATTTCATTTCTTATATCCAAATTTTCGATTGCAGGCCCTAGCCGGTTTGGATCAGTGGATAGAGTGTCAGAATGTGGACAGAAAAGGTCTATCAAGGACGTGTATCTCGGTTGCAGGCTCTTCCCTGGCCTGGGCCCTGGTAGGGACAAGTGCAGGAAGCAACCAATCGATGTGTTTCTCTCACACCGATATTTCTCTCTGTCTCTCTCTCTCTCTTCCACTCTCTCTAAAATAATAATAATAATAATAATAATAATAATAATAATAATATAATAATAAACCCCACATATTTCTATCGTGAAATGTAAGCAAGCAAGATGACACTGCTGTTTCTTTAAGACTCTGACCTGAGAAGGTTCAAGAGTTTCATGAAAAGCAGTGCATATTGCTAAGATAAGATGCGGTATATAATCTTTCTAAATCTTTATTTCTTCATTAACAAAATTAAAATAACATCTGCTGTTTGGTTGTATAAATTAAATAAACAGTGCATATTGCTAAGAAGTGGTATATAACCTTTTAAATTTTAATTTCTTCAAAACTAACAAAATTAAAATAACATCTGCTGTTCGGTTGTATAAATTAAATAATGCATGTAACATTTTTAGCATGTGATAGGAGCTCAGTAAATGATAACTATTATTATTAATAATATAATCTCATCACTTTTAGGATTCCGAAGCCACATATATAAATAGGGTTTATCAAATTTTCCTTCCTCTAGAAAGTTCCCCCAACGATAGCAACATGAAATGAACATCTCTTTGCCATGCTCTTAATGGGAGTTTAGCAATAGGAATGTTTAGAATCTAGGTAGGTTCTCGATAGATGACAGCCAAAGGTTTACTAAATCAGCTTTCCCCTCTTCTTTTCTTGTCTCTAATAGCTAAAATTGCACTGTTAAAAGTGGTTCCCCCTTTAGATTAATGATATATTTCCCCAGCTTAGATATAAATGTTTCTTTTTTAAACATATCTTTATTGATTTCAGAGAGGAAGGGAGAGAGAGAGATAGCAACACCAATGGCGAAAGAGCATCATTGATTGGTTCCCTCCTGCATGTCCTCTACTGGGGATCCAGCCAGCAACCCAGCCTTGTGCCCTTGACTGGGAATTGAACTGTGACCACCTGGTTCATAGATTGACACTGAATCACTGAACCACACTGGTGGGCTAGATGTAAATATTCCTAAAAGATGTAATGCATTTTCTCTTATCAATAAATAAAATCTTATTAAGAAACAGCAGGATGAATGCTGCTACCTGCATATTTAGATAAATACAGATTCATTCATTCATTCATTCATTCATTACCTGCTGTGATAGGAAAGGTACTATTCTGCTGTACTGTGGACAGCAGAAAAAGACAGATGTTCCTCACTTGTGGAGTTTACAGTTGGGGAAGGAGGTTATCCTGTCTGGTGTTTGGAGAAGAAGTTAGAGTCTGGGCCTTGGCTGGGAAAGGCAGGAGGAGATGTGGGCCCACATAGCACATCCCGGGCACCCAGGAGGCAGCATGCACAAAGGCTCTAAAGCCAAGCCAGGGGAGAGGGCCCCCGAAGGCCTAAACGAAGGCTGAAGACAAGCTTTGGATGCAGGCAAGCATCGCTGCAGTGAGGTTCAGGTTTTGCCCTACTCACTGTCTAAATTAGAGTCTGTTGACAAATACATTTCTCTGAAATCACCCACCTGCCACTGGCAGCTCTAATTACAGGGAATGACCTCATCCTAGCTGGTGTTTTTGCAGAGCAAACATCAATAAGTCAAACCAGCTAAGAGGCGTGTCCTCGTTTATCTTCTTGCTCCTATTGCATTTTTCCCCCTTTAGCTTGATTCAGAGAACATATGAATTAAAGATATTATTCTTTCTTCACAAGAACAACAGCATATCTAGGCCGTATTCAACTTAAAATACTCTGAAAAATAAAACTTTGCTTGTAATTTACTCTTTCAGAAAGAATATGTTTTCTTTCCCATAAACATAATAATGCAAATTGTGGGGAGTCCTTCCCAAGTTTACCCACAAAGATATACCTAATCAATAAATGGTTAAATAATGAAAATTAACAAGACACTATATTTGTGTAAAATAACCAAGTACAAATAATTTATGAAGTAAAACACACACACACACACACACACACACACACACACACACATATATAGCTTCAATAATAATATTTTAAGAAAACCCAGTTTCAGTTTAGGAGTTAGAGAATTCCCATTAGAGAATTTTGCATAGTTTATATGCAATTTGTACATTTATCGTCTGGCGCTTTTCCTGTTTATTTAAATTCCTGTCACTTTCTCTGGGGGTATATGTGTCTTGCTCACATAATTTACTTGTCAGCAGTGAATTATTTTCTGACTCATATGACATACAAAGAGAGCAGGTTTTTATGAGACATCTTGACAGGCAAAGGAAGATCGAAAGAGGATGGAGTGAAGAGGACCTATGTTGATTTGTGAGAAAGGAAATGTCCACAGCAAAATTAACTGGCTTCTACTGGACCTTGGGCCTCAGGGGCCAGGACAACCTCATGGCTATCCAACTAGAGAAAGGTGACACCACTTCGGAGACAAGGCAGAGAGGGAGTTTGAGTGCAAAACCCTTTAGTGTCAGGTCATCACAAAACAGGTGTCTACCACTCAGCAAGTACCTGTGTAACATGACTGCAATACAGCAAAGTAAGGCCCGATGGCTGATGGCCGGACCAAAAATGACTTCAGGGGGCCATTTAGGGATATCAGTAAATAAGTACGAGGATAATGGGATTGACATTGCACAGAAAAAGAAAAAGAACAGCAGTTTTTTTCTCTTTTCTCTCCTTCGTGAGTTAATGGACTGTGAGTAGCAAATTTTAAAGCATCTCACTGATTCGAGAAGAACATTGAGAAAGTACCATGAATTATCCACTTCCCTATGAACCTAAAAAGACAATGTGGTTTCCACAATGAAGGTCCTGAGGAATTTAACCCAAGAAAAATTCTTATTCTCCAGGATGATGGGGACATAAGTGAACACCTCTGGAGTATTTCCTTCATGAGATGCTGCCTTCTCTTTGAAATTACCATTTGGTTTTAAATGTATCTTATTTCTAACTGTTAAGTCTATTTTGACTGATAACTCAATGGTCAAGTTCCTTTCCCACACTTCAGACACTGACAGAGTAGAGAAACCAACAAATGAAACTTTGAAATGCACAGAAGTGCTTAATGCTCTGTTGTGGGCATTAAGCATTTAACAATTTACATGAACCAAAAAGAAAAGAAATGAGTGACAATTATGACTTATTTGCTCTTTATGAAATAAGTGGGTTTGGAACGGCAAGTAGAGACTAATTCTATATTTGCAAAAGTGTGACAGAAGAAGAAAGAGGAGGAGGAGGAGAAAGGAGGAAGAGTTGGAGGAATAAGGTGGAAGGGGGAAGGAGAAGAAATCAAAGACGATAGAAACAACAACAAATACATGGATGTCAGTGCAGATACTCCAAGGTATATGCCTTTACAAAAACAACGCAGATCACATTAATAGTGGTGCAGCAACCCGTAGCTGAGTATCCTATTAGTGCCTGTAGTGCCAGCTCAGGAGAAAAGCTCTGGTCTGTTTATGAGAAGCAGCATGTTACGGTGATATAAAGGCTGGTTAACACGCATACAGAGACAGCTATCGGTTCCTCTATTCTTCTGTTTCCCCTTTTGTTGTAGCAACAGAAGCCCCAAGTTTTAGCTGGTCACAGTCTATCCAGGTAGATGCTACATAACCCAGGCCTGCCTTGTCCCTGAGTGTGGCCACGTGACAAAACCTGAACTAATGGCATAAGAATGGAAACGCTTTATCGATGTCCAGATCATCTTCTTAAAGGGGAAGATGCTTTCCCAAGGCTGCCTCTTTCCTCCTTCCCGCGGGCTGGGAAATGGCATCTGCCGCCCAGGGCCACACACTCCAGAATGCTGTCTGAGAGAGACACGATCTTCTTTCTTCCTAAGTCAGTGCTGTTTGTTTGCTTTGGGTCTCTGTGTTAGTTTTTTGTTACATAAGCTTCGCCTGTACCCTAACTATAACATTAGCTTGGCCAATCAGATCTAAATTTAGGAAGGCTGGAAGCTCTGACATGGGACAAGAGTAAGCAAGAAGGAATCGGATCAGAGTGACCCCAGGCTCTGGTGGCCCCATTTATTTAACATTATGTCCACGGGCAGAACCCCTGCCCCGATTTCCCTCCGCTGTCTGTGGATGACCCTCTACGCCCCCCAAGTCACAACAAAGAGCAACTATATCTGTGACAGTTTCACAGATTCAGCACTTCCTCATTTCCCTAGTTTACTTCGAACATATGCCTTTAGTATAGTATTTATAACATTCATTTTCTACTTATATAGTATCTAGCTCTCTTATGAGACTCTGAGAAGAACAAGATCATTCCACTTCTCTTTATATCCATGTTGCCCAGCACACCACCTACACCACCTGGCTTAAGGTAATGTCTCAATAGATGTTGTTTGCATTGATGTTGTTGAATTAATGTGGAATGTAAATATTTTATGAATGTTTATGACTTGTCTGAGTTTTCTGTTAATATTTAGGTTGTTTTTTTAAAAAATGCTAGTGATTTCCCTATAAACAGGAACAGCGGTAGTGTTAGCTAGTTATGACCAGAGCTCATGATGCTTTATTCTCTTTCCCTGTGATTGCTAGTAAATAATCTTAGGTCTCCTCCAGACACACACACACACACACACACACACACACACACACACACACACACACTTTCATAATGGCTCTCCTTTCCTGAACATCTATCATGTGGCAGGAGTTTAATATATTTATATTTTCTCTAATTTTTATAACAAGTCTGTGTGGCAGGTGGTATATTTTCATTTTACACATGAGGAAACTGAGGCCCATAATTGCAATCTTGGAGCTAAGATCTAAGTCCATATAATATTACTCTACTGTGTATTTGAAAGTTGCTAAGAAAGTAGATCTTAAAAGCTCTCATCATTAGAAAAAAATTATAACTATGTGAACTGATATAAGTTAACTAAACTTATTATAGTAATCATTTTGTAATATATAAAAATCATGTCATATATCTTAAACCGATACAGTTTTTTATATTAATTGTATCTTAATAAAAGTAGGAGAAAATAAAATCACAGATCTGATATCAAAGCCCAAATTCTTACTCTACAACCCCAGTCTCTAGAGAAAGGTGATGTTATCCCTGGTCATTTGTAGTTAACATCACCTCTCTCTCTGCCTCTGCAAACAGACCCTCCAATTCCTTCTGGTCTACAAAGGCTGAGAATATGCTGATAATGACACCTTTGGGTTTCCATTATTCCTTTCCTTTGTGTTGTGGTGGTTAAGTCCTTGTAGGGACCCAGGGCTGCATGTGAGAACTCCTCATCTGCTGGCTCCTCTTCATTCTAGTTTGGCTTCACTGCTGATGTGGACCTGGAGTCTCCTGTTGGGAGTCCCTTTCTGTCTCTTGCCTCTGACTATAGACCGAACATGCAACCCCCCTTACAGCTGGCCCCTTCCTAGACAATGTTCTTTTAGAACTGGTACTTCTTGTTTCATAAAACTAGCTTGGATTGCTCCTGGTTAGTTGGTGCTGAAGACTCTTTTACATTTGACCTCTTTGTGAGATAGAAAAACAAAATCTTAGGACAGGTAAGATGGGAGATAGGGAAGAACCCAGGGAAAGAAAGGAGACGAGGTCACATGATTTTAGCCAATACATAGTGGTTTCCAATAAATACACATTAATTATTATTTATTGCGAACAAAAAGTTATAGGAAAGAAGTCATTTACCAATGAGAAGCGGTGTCTCTCCTTTGTCGTTTTTGGTGTTTGGCCATACTCCTTTTTCTAGTAAAGTTCTTACATTTTCCACCAGACCAGCTTTGACTGCCAAAGTCAATGGTGTTTCTCCATCAGAGGTCTTGAACTCCCAGAGCGTCTTATAGGATGCTGAGATGTGAAAGCATTGCATAAAGTTAAAAGTCTTTGTTTAAAGGATATCACATAGATCAGAATGATACAACATTATACGTATTAGTCTGAACAAAGTCGATTGATGAAGCAGCGAAGACTAAAGGAGATGTGAGTAAAGTTTCTCAAAATATAGTATATATAAGTAGATGAGCATGGATGTGCTAATCAAACTGACAGCTACAAAACCAACATGTATGTTTCAAGGTGCTCTTTTTTTTTTAAAAAAAAAAATGGGTTGTAAATCTTCATCCTGATAAATTATAAATCAACTTCCCAATCCTTAGCATTGTTATTTAAATTGTATCTGAAATTGGTTTTTGTAAAATGAAGCCTGTGAATGTGGGACTGAGAATACATTTGAATGAATATATCCTGTGAGAATATGTTAGCTACACTCTGCTTAACATCATCTTCTATATCTGTCTATATGTCTAGCTATCTATTTTCTACTCGCTAGCTGGCTGGAGAGTTAATTATCTTTTACAATATACAACTAGGGAGCAATATTGAAGGTTGAAAGATGGAGCACTAAGTGTTTTATGAGACATTGAGGTATGAAAAATACTGATTAGAACGTGGAAATTATTATTAATACTTGAGTAAGGTCAAGTTACTGTAATATTTATTAATATTTATATTATGAAGAAATAATTCAAGAGGAAAAATTAAAAACTGACTTCCAAAAGCAAAAATATTTATATTCAGCCCTGGCCAGGTGGCTCAGTTGTTGAAGCAAAATCTCATAGACCAAAAAGGTAGCAGGTTCAATTCCCTTTCAGGGCTCATACCTAAGTTGAGGGTTCAATCCGCAGTTGGGGCATATATGGGAGGTAACCAATTGATGTTTCACTCTTACTTCTCTCTCTCTCTCTCTCTCTCTCTCTCTCTCTCTCTCTCTCTCTCTCTCTCTTCTCTCTCTGTCGCTTTCCTTCTTTCTCCCTCTCTTCCTCCCTCCTCTTTTCCTCCAATGCTTCCTCTCTCTCTCTTCAAGTAATAAACAGTCTGGCCCTGTGTGGCTCAATGATTAAAAATCAACCTATGAACCAAGAGGTCATATGCCTGGGTTGTATGTTTGATCCCCAGTAGGGGGTGTGCATGAGGCAGTCCATCAGTGATTCTCTCTCATCACTGATGTTTCTATCTCTCCCTTTCCCTTCCTCTCTGAAATCAATAAAAATATTTTTAAAATAAAATAATAAAATCAATAAACATTATCCTTGGGCAAAGGTTTAAAAGATTTATATTCAAATCAATTAATTCATGATGTATACAAACTTCTATCACTTTTAGGTGATAACCACATTTTCCAGCCAACCTGTGTCACATTCTTAGAAGAATGCAAAGGTGAACCCAGAGACTCACAAAATGTGCTAATTTTTGTGCCCTACTGTTTAAAACATGGCTATTGCCTTTTCTCCGTTTCAAATAATATTTTATTCTGCTTCTTCTTTTTGCTTGTTACATTCATTGACATCACTCCCAACTCCTACATTCCTGCTTCAGTTTCATCTAAGAGGCTTTGTGTTCGCTTACCATCCAGGACAATTTCAAGTATTTGTTGAATGGGCTGAACAACAGCTTCATGCAGGGGAAACCATCCTTTTTCATCCGCTTCATCTAAGGCATATTTATATTTCACATACTCCTGGAGCTCAAGAATGTGGCCTGCAGTAAACACAGGGGCTGATAAATCTGTCCCAGCGAGATGGAATCTCCGACTCCTCCGTTTAGGCAATATGCTTACCGTGCTTTATGGCCTCCACTAGTTTTCTGTTTTGATCACTTAGTGGCACAAATCTCCCAGAGAAAGAAACAGAAGCCATCATTATAAAAGTGAAATACCCTGAGGAACCAACATTTTAATCTATATTGAGTTCTGAAGTTAATTTTAATAATCAATAGTTCAAGGAAATGCACACAACTGATTTCATCCACTTAAAAATGCAATGACTCAGAGTCAGATATAGAGTATATTTATGATAAATATACGCAGGAACATTAGTGGAGATGATAAAATATAAGCTTATAACACCCTCTCACAAATGAGGGCCGAGCATGAAGGAGTAAACAACCTGAGGCGGAGCCATAGAAACCGGGCTCGGGTTTTGTGCTTTGTGACTCTGGGGAGGCCTTGAGCCTTTCTGAGTGCTCGTTCTTCACCTGTAAAGTGCTGGGAGTAAACAGAAAGGTCCCTAAGACTTCTTTCCATTGAAAAAAATCCTATGCTCGCCGGGACCGGTTTGGCTCAATGGATAGAGCGTCGGCTTGGGGACTGAAGGGTCCCGGGTTCGATTCCCGTCAAGGCCATGTACCTTGGTTGCGGGCACATCCCCAGTAGGAGGTGTGTAAGAGGCAGCTGATCGATGACTCTCTCATCGATGTTTCTAACTCTCTATCTCTCTCCCTTCCTCTCTGTATAAAATCAATAAAATATATTAAAAAGAAAAGAAAAAAAAAATCCTATGCTCGATACATGTTTGACGCTTTAAACGTAATAATTGCTAATTAATGATGGTTCATTTGGGGGCTTATGATCCACCTCGAATATTAGTTTTAATCAACTCATCCACAAGTGAAAACAGGCTGAGCATGCACAGAGCAAAAGTCCAGTTACCAGCCCAGGAGGTCATGACTTCAGCCTCCTGGCAAGTCTCTGGGTGAATTTATTCAAAGGAAACAAAGCCTTTCATAACAAATTGATTTAACACTATCAGGCAGAAACCTGTGCTGCCATCCTAGGGCTGTGAATGCTTTCCCTAGAACTCTAAAGTTCTAAAACCTGTTGAATATATGGAGAAAAATTAAAGAGGCCAGAAATTTAAATGTAATATGTCCATTTAAAAAAAAAAAAAAAAAAGCTCAGAAACAATAATTTATAGCACCAAATCTATCCCAAAGCACTCGTAAGTTTCAGAATATTATAATAGAATGTAAAGGTAAACTGAAGTTCAGTTTAGTCAGAAGGATAATGTGTGTTGTTCAAGACAGAAATCTATATTTGCAGTTTTAGACCTTATAACCCCTGCTAACATAAAACACCAATTTTGTGTGTAATTTGTTAACTTCTGTCATTCGAAAAGTAGATAATGAAATAGGTTTTGGTTTGTATATTACTTCTCCAGGTATTATAGAAGCCCTCAACCTTTTCCCAATTCATTGAATATATGGGCTGGGTGGGCTAGCATTACTCTTCATATTTTAAAGATGCAAATTTAGAATACATTACTTATACCCGTAAAGGTTGCCTGAGTCTGTAGCAGAATGGGGTCTAGAATATACAGAACAGACCTCTGTATACCTATCTATACATTACTTGTATAAACTGTACTTGTAAATTTATTTAAGTTTATTGTCCTTTTCATGCCATTAATTTAGAAAATAGGCAATCATGCACAACTGAATTCAACTAGAATTTCCATCTTCTGCCTGAGTAGGGATTTGTGGAAGGTCAGACTGCTGAATCTATCACAGTGGCCCTTGTAAAGCTGCTCCATTCTCTGCCAGAAAAGAAGGGTGGCATTTTCCTGGAAAGAGTCAGGAAACAGGATTTTTTTTTTTTTTTTCATCTTACAACCAAATGATTGTCATAAAGGAATTTTGTTGAGGACAGTCAAGTCAATTGTTACCTTTCAGGATAAAATTCAGTCTTGCTGGCTTCAATGGATTCTTGAATACTGAGCTGAATATCATAACTTGTAAGATTGTCTTCATCGGGGTCATCATTACTATCCATGACTAAATATAATTTTGAAAAAAGCAATTTCTTATTATCAGCAAATGGCACAGAACACTCATATAAAGTTAATTTGAAAGATTCAAAGTGAAAAACTAAAATGTGTTTACCTTTCTCCATTTAACAAATACAAATGCATTTGTTAACATTTTAATCTAAATTGTATATGAAGCCCATCCTAATTTTTGAACCTTTAATTACCAAAAGGGTATCTGCGTTTTCTAATTTTGATTTTCCTTTCAGTAATGACTATAGTTGAGCTTATAAGAATTCATTTTTTCCACATTTTTGACTTAACAAGAATGTTGGCCTATCCATTTCCTCAAGACACAGCACTAGAAGTTTAAAACTCTAATCCAGAAGTATGAAAATGGCAGGAATAGATAATAATGAACTTTCCCATTTTTTACTCATTGTTTCATGTCTGCTGTCCTTGCTTATTTGTTGATAAATTCCTTTGCTCACACCAGCAGTGGTTTGAGTTGGCTGCTTTGAGTTGCAATTGTTTTTGTATTTGTGTTCAACTTCTAATGGACTCTATGCTTTTTGAGGTGAAGGGTTCTCTCTCACTCATGTCTGCTTCCCCTACTGTTCTAGAATGTGCTGGGCACAGGAAAGATTCTCAATGACTATTTGTTGATTAAAGTAGAGAAAACAGAACATCACAAATACAGTGCCCTCGTCTTACCTTCAGAAATTTTGAAGCATTGAGATAAGAACTATCTTAACTCCATTCCCAGACCAGAGAGCAGCCCTCTGTGGATTAGAAATCCCTTCCCCTGCATAGTTATCCATTAGAAGCCACTGCCTTGACTAGTCCCTCTCCTCTGAAGATAACATATAAAAATATAGCTTATTTATCATTGCCTTATTTCTTCCAAATATCAAATTAGAAGAGTGAGTGTCTCTCATTGCTATCGGATCTATTGTTTTATCTTAGAAATGTAGTAAGTGTAGAAATCCAAATAGTACTACAGCTAGGCTGATTGATCAATATGAAATTATTTTTGACTAGTGATACTTTTCAAGACAAAATGTATTTACATGTAATATGGGTTTTCAAGGTGAAAACAAAACAAAACAAAACAAAAACAATTCAAAATAGTATTCTGTGGGCAATTTCCAAACACAAGAATTGTTTACCTCTTCTCATGGCTCAAAGTTAGATAAGCTCAAACATTAAGAAAAGTTCTGTTCATGCTGACAGCTAAGGACCCTGACCTGTGCGCAGACTGCACACAAGTAAATGGCATCATGATGATTTTATTGTTCATTGTTCTGTATCCAGTGGCCTTACTATCAGCTGGAAACAGAGAAGAGAGAATAGTGATAGTGTGCACTCCACTGAACATATTTTCTCACACCATGATATCTCAGTCTACTCAAAGGGCTAACATGTGCCCTAGGGATTATATTCAACAAATAGATTCAAGTGATATTTTATTTTATTTGTTATTATTTACTTGATCATTGTCTTTCTGTTCCCCCTAGAATGCAATCCAATAAGAGGAGATAATTAGTCTGTATTGCCAGTGCCTAGAGAAGCACCAGCTCATGACTTATGGTCTCTAAATACATATTAAATGAATGAATGAATGAATGAATGAATGCATTAATAACTAAACACTAACATAATCTAAGCTCTGATTTATTCTTAGAATTAACTATTTTTCTCAGGCATGGAATCTTTCTTCCAACTAAACAAATTTGCCCACTCTGCACTTGACTTCATTTTTTGCACTTTTGTGCTTTCATACCTTATTCCTATGCACTCACAAGCCTCCCAGCTGTTCCAGGCCCATGGCCTTCATTGCCTCAAGCCTGGCTTGAGACCTTCTTCATATGGAAGCCGTTGCTGAAATTCTCTAATTCCTCTCCGGCCTTCTTTATCTATGTGTATCTCCTCTTATATAATATTTTCCCAACATTTGGATTTGCACTCATTTTGTATTTGCTTTGCAAGATCCTCACATATCTGTGTTTTGTATTCTCACTTGGACAATTAGTTTTATGAGTAAAAACAAACTTTCTTTTTCCTTCATGTCTTCTCTCTCTACTCCACTCCTAGTCAACTATAGCAAATGGCTATGCGCAGTGGTCACTGGAGAAAATGTGTTGACTCACGAGCAGTGGAAAGCACTGAGTCCTTCAGACAGCACAATTAGACGATGAAGTTCAGCCTGTGGCATTGCCTGTTGCCTTTCTCACTAACATCGTGGTGGTGATAGGGGATTGCATGGCTCTGGGATTAGTAATGAGATACAGGGCCTTTCACCTATTTAAATCACCGGCTTAACTCTAAACCTGTTGGAAATTTGGGCTTCCAGGTCATGAGATACTACAGACTCCTTAGAGAACTGAGCTGATCTGTGGAAAGTTTTTTTTTTTTTTTTTTAATGTCCTTATAATTACCACCAGAAGGAAGCTATCTAAGACTTTCCACTGCTTTGTGTCCCTACTGACAGCAGGGTAGAAACGATGAGGAAACTACTACTACATAAAACAACCCCCACCGAACACGAGCTGTCTCCATCCTTTTCCTGAAAGCTTCAGAGGAAGGTACGGTCTGTGTGCAGGTGCCCTAATATGTCAGAGAGACAAGGGCACATCATTGGAATGGGTCTAGAGACATTAAGACACAATGACAACGGAATATTACAAGGTGGTAAAAAAGAAGGAACTCGTCATATGCAACAGCATGAATGGACCTGGAGAGTGTTATGCTGAGCAAAGTAAGCCAGTCAGGGCAAGATAACTATCACAGGACCTCAATCACATGTGGAATCTAAGGAACAAAATAAACTAATTAACAAAATAGATCCAGAGACATAGAAGCATGGAACAGATGGATGAATTTCAGAGGGAAGGTGAGGGTTGGGGAGAGATTAAATGGGGAATTTACATGCATGTATGCATAGTCCATGGACAAAGTCCATGTGGTGAAGGCCTGGGAGGGCGGGTGCAGGGTGGAGGGTATCAATGGGGGAAAAAATTAAAAGGGACATCTGTAATAGTTTCAACAATAAAGATATTTTTTTTAAAAAAGACACAATGGGAAGGGAAGGAAGAGAGTTATTTATCTGTACCTCAAAATTAAAATGACTAAACACAATCCCAAATGAAGGCTAAAACAATTTTTAAATGAATATTTTAATTGATTTCAGACAAGAACAGAGAGGGAAAGAGAGCTAGAAACATCAAGGTGAAAGAGAATCATTGATCACTGCCTCCTGCATGCCCCACACTGGGGATAGAGCCCGTAATCTGGACATGTGCCCTGACCAGAAATGGAACAGTGACCTCCTGGTTCCTAGGTCAATGCTCTACCACTGAGTCACACCTGCCAGCCTGGAAACAATCTTTAAGTAAAATACCAGCTAGGTACCTGAGGAAAGGCCAAATACTCGTTTGGCATCCTTGAAGACCTATTTACAGGTGCCCCACTGCTCAGACTGCAACATCCATTGACCCTTTCTAAATAATAATTTGCCAATCCTGTTCTGAAGAAGCCTACTATTTATTCTTCATAAGTAGCTGGTTTACAACATAACTGGGACAATCCGATTGGACAGTTAGCCATTTTGTTTAAAGCACTGGTCAGCCTCGCTTTCACGAAAGCAATGTAGTCTCTCCACACACGCGTTTTCTGAGGTCTCATGTATGCCAGGTAAAGAGCCATTAAATTAAGGATTCTCAGACGCTAAATGTGCTATTCAGATATCAACAATTATTACTTTATAGGTGGGCTGAGTAAAATCCTAGATTTAGATGGTGGGAAAGAGAGTGGGTGATCATGTAAGTTTTAGATGCTCTTGGGTAATAATAAAGATGGTGATTATAACGATCGCCACAAATCATTGAGTGATCATGTCGTTTCCAGCACCATGCCCTTAAAAAGAAAACACTCTGATCTTGCTCTTAACAGCCAGTCTCGATGACAATGACCTTCCAAAAATAAAAAATAGCTTCCAGGACACACAAACCTTTCTCTTTGGGTCCACGTGATAAGGCTTTGCGCTTAGGATGGTCCGAGGTGTCCCAGATTTGCCTTCATTCTGTACCTTTGTTTTGGAGTCTACACGTTACAGTCTGAGAAATAGGATCAGCATGCCAGTTGATGCCTGACCTAAGTGGTCAGGAGGTTGGATGATGTTGCAAGGTATGATGCAGGAGGCAACCTCGCTGCTCTGGACTCTAAACCACCTCTAATCCGTGATAATAGCAAACTGTTGATAAGTTTGTGAGGCCCCTCAGAGCTTCCCTGGAAACCTGGGAAGCTGACCAAGGTCCTCCTTTTCCCTCAAGCAGGGCAAATATGTCTTTGCTTCCTATAGATTGTTTATTTCCAATGGCATACCAATCTGTTTCGCCCATTCACCCTCACACTCTGTCTTGGGCAAAACAAAAACGAAATCATTTCTGTGAATCCTAAACAGGACTGGCCTTAAGAGTTCCTGGAGTGGCCCTCGCCAGTTTGACTCAGTGGATAGAGTGTCAGTCTGCAGATGCACTGAAGGGTCCCAGGTTCAATTCCAGTCAAGGGCACATGCCTGGGTTGGAGCTCGATCCCCAGGAGGGAGTGTGCAGGAAGCAGCCGATCAATGATTCTCTCTCGTCAGTGATGTTTCTATCCATCTCTCCCTCTCTCCCTCTCCCTTCCTCTCTGAAATTAATAAAGAAAAAGAAAAATTTTAAAGAGTTCCTGGAGTGGACCATTGCTTCCAAGTTGCAGGGAAGAGCTTTGTGTCCATAATGTAACACTGTCCCCAACACCAATCACATCAGTGCTATTCTGTTACATCAGTCAGAGGTTCTCTCTGGGAGAGCTTATGGTCCCTTTTAAAATGCCAATAGCCCAGGGCAGAATTATTATAGGATCCGTTGCAATAGTTAAATGGGAGGGGATGATGGCAGAGGGTCTAAGACTGAAGCCAGTGGGAGGTGATAAGAGAGAAGGAAAGAGCAAAACAGTAACATTTGGCTCTGCTCACAGTTTTCTA